AACATATACATGCTAAACAAATTAGTTTTGATTTTTATCTTTTTTTTTTGTATTTCCTCTTTTCTTCTTTTTAAGAATTCTTCTCAGCTTGCCTGTCTATGTTGACTTAAGTCCCATCTTTAAATATCCCATTGTGAAACTGGGTCTTAGAATGCAGAACTTTAATAGTGGAATCTGGAGACAGAGCTTTAATTTTTTTCCCTTTAAAAACTAGTGTCTAAATTCTACATTGTTAACACCTTTACCATTGGCCCGCACAACTTTGCTTTTCACTATTGTCTAAAGTAGCTGAAAGTATCAGGGTAGTGGCACTGCCTCAAGTGAATTCACATCATATGCTTTTTCATTTTCACCCTTCGAGAAAAATTGAACTTAAGTAGTTGGGAGCACTTATTTTTCAAAAAGCCTGGGGCTCTTAAAAAGAGCAACCCTATATCTTATAATGGCTATGAAAATGTACAAACAAGGTGACTATGAGAAAAATACCATGGTAAAAATAATTTATGTTGACATCAGACTCTTGATCTCATATCTTAGAGACATCTTGGATCATTCACAATTTGATTTATCTTCCAAGATTGCCAGATGAAAGTTAAAGTTGTTATTTATTTGAAATTCATCTATAGAATATAAGAGTTGTGAATTTCAAAGTATTGTTTTAATGAAGCTATGTGCTTTGGTTCATCCAGAATTCAGATAAGTAGAGACCCAGAAGAGACTCTACTGAGATCATTAACTCGAAGTCCTTTATTGCTTGAGGGAAGAAGAGCTTGGATTTGTCCAAAGTCAGAAAGTAGCAGTAGACTAGAGCTAGATTTCAATCTTCTGCTGCAATTAGGCCACATGAAAAGAGGTGCCAGCTGGGTATGAAGACTTCCCACAGCATGTTGGCTCAAGTTCACACTGGCGTTAAAAAGGAAGGACAGAGCTAAGATTGAAGTTGCATACCATTATGAGTAAAAGGAAACATTTGATTTGGAAATCGCATGTAAATGACCAGAAATTAATGATGATGAAGTTTTATCTTATTGCCTATGTACAAATATCCATTGGTTATAAAATTTGAGAAAAAGCTCAGTAATGTTCTGAGTTTAGAATGAAATCTTAAAAGTCATAAATATGTCTTTCAAAGTAATTGTTTTTATTATGGATTAAAATTCAGTATTAAGTTATAACGCTTTATATAAGTTATGATGCATTGGAAGGTATTTGCTCTTCTGTGGATTATTTGAAGGATAACAGGAGAACATTTTTTTGTCCCCAAATTTCTTTCTTGTCTCTTTGGTATCTAAAATGTTTACCCTCATTTTCTGTCTTTTCAATCATGTTCATGGTGGACAACTAAAGAAATATCAGTGATGCACAAAGGCTTATCAGCTTCAATTACTTATTAGTACTCTACAAGAGAGCAGAGCCCTAAGAGAATGGGACATAAGGTGGGTAAATTTTGATGAAAGCAATTAAAACAACAACAATGAAAGAAAGTCTGCCACATGGTGGGGACAAAGCAGAAGTAAAAAAGTTTGGTTGTTATTATTATTCATTATTAATATTATTATTAATTTTTTGATGAGAAGTATTCACAAAAAGGACAGTAGAAGCCACTAAATAATGATATTACCCATTTCAAAATTTTGTTTAGAATTTGCTTTGGTGGCTAATAATAGAAACTTTTTTTTTTGCCTAATAGTAACATATTTATAACAGATACAAAGTGTGAAACAGGTTATCAAGTACATCCATAGCCATGGCCTCAACTAAACTATGTTGTCGGTGTATCAAGACAGGTGCTAGTAGCTCCATTTTAGAAATAATGTCATGGGGACCCACAGTTGTTTAATGACTATCCAACCTCATATAACCAGTGTGAGCAGAGAAACTTAAGATGGAAATTCATGGGAACCAGCAGTTAGCATAATGGCTATGAGGCTGGACTCCCACGTAGTCGACCGTGGTTCGCGTCCCGGACCCGGTAGCTTAAAACTCACGCCGGGCGCGTGTGCATGTGTGTCCAAGATCCCGAGAGGAGAATGGAGGAGAAGGGATTGCGGCGTGGCCATCCCCCCTGGGGGGTGATTTCTCGCTTTCTGTCTCTATGTCTCTCTCTGTCTGGTGAGTGCACGCACGCTATAGCGAAAAACCTCTCCAAAAAAAAAGATGGAAATTCATGTATTTTGGTTCTGAAAAAGTCTTCTTTTTTCCTTACCAGATTAACCTGGGAAAAGAATTTATACTTTGGAGTCAAATGACTCAGGCTTAAGCTCATTACTTTTCTTGTCAACTATGTGACTTTGGATAGGTTACTAATTCTCTGAATCTCATTTTCCATATCTGCGGGGGAAAAAAATAAACAGGAATAATGCTACTTATAGAATTTTCGTGAAGTTACATTAGGTAAAAACAAGCAAAGTTACCAGATTAAGGCCTGGCACATGGTAGGTACTCAATACATGAAGCTATCACCACCTGGAAAAGATATCTCCTGACCCTCCACTTAAAGGCAAAATGATGAATCAGGGCAATTTTCTTGTTTATTCAATTATACCATGTCTCCATGGTGTATTTTAATTCCTGAAATTATCTGCTGTGAACAACTGTGTGTGCATATGTCAATGTGCCTGCATCTTTGCACACTAGTGTGCATACTTGGAGTCCAGCTGTACAAATGTACTCACATGTACCTTTGTGCATGTCTTAGTGTCCATCAGTGGTTCTCTATGTTTCTGGGCTACGCAGAATCAGAGATAGCAATTAAACATTGACCTTTTTTTAAAAAGAGGTTTTTCTATAGAGCGTATGTGCTCACCAGAAAGGCAGAGAGAGACAGAAAGCGAGAAATCACCCCCCGGGGAGATGGCCATGCCACAATCCTTTCTCCTCCATTTTCTTCTTGGGATCTTGGGCATGCATGCACATGTGCCTGGCATGAGTTTAAGCCACCAGGTTTAGGACTTGAACCGTGGTCGACTACGTGGGAGTCCAACGACATAGCCATTACGCCAACTACTGGTCTTAAACATGGACCATTTTTATACTGCAGATAACTGGATCATGACCATAAAGCTAACTCAAATAGATTGATCCTAGCACTGTGACATGACTGAGCTCCAGAAAAACAGGGGTTTTGCCCAAAAATATTGGGATAACACGTGGATTTCCCAGCCTGATGGGTTGAAAGGTTTTGGGCACTTCTCTTCAATAGACACAGCTATGGACTCACAAAATTGCATCCATTTCTGAGTATATTTTATTTACAATTGTTCATTCTGTCTTGAAATATTTTAGAATCACTTAGATTAAAATCAGTACATAAAGTAATCTTCACTGTATTTGTTACATATGGCACAGAATAATTTAAACTTTATAAATAAGCTTCGTTGATGCACAAATGGGAGAAGCACCCTTTGCTAAAAGTGGTTCAGTAACAGTTTAATTTGGCTACGGTAGTACTTTAGAAAATGACCATGAGATGGCACTGTAGCCAAGTAAGTTATATATATTTTAAACAGTTTTCCCTAATTACAGCATTTCATTATTTTCTTTAAATATAGAAGAATCTATTGTTCAACTAAAAGTAGAATAAGATTTGTTACTGTTTTAGTAGTATTGACGAGGAGTGGCTCCTTCATAGCCACAGACCTTTAAGTCATTTGAAGACAGTGTTTCACTGGGGTAGGAGTGCATTTAAAAGCCATAGTAGTCGGAAAGTCCCCAGACTAAACAAAGGGCCCAAAGGTACCATTTTATTTAAGATCAACAAACCATATGTAAGGACCACCATTTCACTATCCTCAAAGAACCATGTTGTAGTCTTTCCACAAAATTAGATCAACTTCCAGTTTACTTAAAGAGCCAATGTCTGTTATACCTTAATCTCCTTTGACAGCAACAGAAGGTCACCAGAATATTAAAACATGGATTCACATTGAAATCAACATAATACAAACATGCACACATGTGTATATATTGAGTGTTTTCATTGACTTGCTTTTCCTCCATATAAATATATAAATATTGAATAAAGTGCATGGGAACATGTCTGTACATATATACAGATACACTTTTTCTATATACACTTGAATAGATATTTATGGAGAGAAAAAACACATACACATTTGTTATATATATGTAAGCAAAAGACAGTTTCAGGCAGAATTTATGTCCATTCTGATCAAGACTGAGTATATGAGAGTAGAATCTGTAATCTTTTCTCTATAATGAAATGTGCAGAGTTATAAACTAAGGCAAAATACATTAGAGCAGAGACTTTTTAACATTTCTATTTTCATTGGTTAGTATGATACAATCATTAGACACTAGTCTAGTTCAAATGCAGCCTTGGCATTAGTGGCATATTATAAATTCTAGCTTTGAAATAGTAAACCATCTCTCAATTTATCTGTAAGGACATAATCAGGAAAGCCTTAATGCATTAATGCATTAATGTACCTATAATTTTTAAAGCCTTAATGCACCTATAATTTTTTCCCAAAGGTTTGGACAAAAACTGCTGTCCATTAAGTAGAAATGTCTCACCATTGTAATCATATATCTAACGTCTATTCCAATAACTACCAATGTGCAAGAAAGCCTTGAGTATTACAATACCAAGGTGGATTAACTGCTATTAATCTTTGCCTTCAAAAATCATTTCTACAAAATGTGACATTATCTGCTTTTTTATTAGGGAGTTCAGTGTCCAGGGGTAATACTAAAATAAGTTAATTTTTAGGGAGAACAAAAACTTTGCTCAAAACTTTGTTAATCATAAATTAGATCCAAATTGAAGTGCCCATTTCTAAATTAATTGCAATGTTTGTCCTCCAATTGTATTTTCCCATCTCTTTTCTCGTTGGTGTGCATTGGTAACCAACCAGGAAAGCTTACTGAGAAAACTATCCTCAGAGCTCAAACAGAACTATTTCTAAACTAGGTGGAAAAAAATAAATTGAACTGATTTTCAAAATAAGTCTAATTTATATTTTTTTAACATGGGCCAATTTGGTTTAGTCCTTTTCTTTAAGAAAAATTATCTCATTTAATTATTCTTATATTTCTAGTACCTAAAATCTTGCTTCACACGTAAGTGTTCACTCAGAGATGATTTCGGAGACAGGCTGAACAGTTTTAATACATGATATAGATTGACCTGAAAGCATCAATTTACCTGATGTATGTCAACAGGAAAGTAACCTGCTTTTTACAGAGATGTCCTGAGACTTTCCTATTATCAATAGCTAGAAACCTGAGTTTATTCCTCAATCCTGACAGTTACATCAACATACGGTATACTGCTCAAAGGAGTACATACGCAATGCAGTCATCGGAGTGACTAAGTTACCAAATACCTCAGTGGAGCTGTTTTAGAGAAGCAATTTCTAGAAATGTACTTGGTAATTTTTAATTACGCTTTTGCTCGTTAGCCTAGAAGAACAAATATTAAACAAGATCACAAATTTGGAATAAAGCATGAGAAGTAGAAGAGAAAGCAGCAATAACATTTAAAATCTTTTCCACTTTTGAGAAGAATTAACCTGAAATGTAGCAAATGCCAGCAACTGTGTCAATATCTCAAAATCTATGAAAAAGCAAGAATGAAAAATGTTGTCAAGTATTTCAATTAATGGTCTCACCAGTATGAATTTTATAACACTGTCCTTAGTGTCTTGTTTCCTTTTCAAATGTATGTCACGGTAAGTTTTAAAGAGTTTTCTTTCTTTAAGAGGTCACTATATTCAATATTTTTTTCACTATTTTTAGCTCTTTTTTTTATTTACAGCAATAAATAACCAACTTAATCCCATGCCATTAATTAACAACATAGTAGCAAGGTTTCCATTTGAAAATAGATGTAAATTTAGACTTATGTATGGCCTCATTATAATTATACAATAAAAACTAGTGATTTTGAAGACACATCATTTACAATGTTAAAAATAAGTATCATAAAGCTCACAACTGAAGTGCTGTCAGGACAATTCTGAAGTGCACATTTTGTGGCATTTAACCCTGCTTTTCATTGACAGGATAAAATGAGGCATATAGATATTATTGTTGGTTCCACTAGATTGGCCTAATGTTTTCCAGTCTCCCTATTTTTTTTTCCCAGAGAGGTGAAAATTTTCTCAATATGCCCTCTACAGTTGCCATGGCAACTAGCTTATCACACACAGCTAACCTTTTCATTCACTGTGTCGATATTGTCTGTAGAAGCATTTTCTGAATGTTGTTTTTCTAGAGCAACCATAGAGCAGTCATTATCTGCCATCTTCGCATCTTTCTTTGAATTTTTTTTTTGTCCCATTTGAAGTTGACTAGACTTATAGGCCAATGCTGGTATAGTGTTCACTAAAATTAACTGCAATGGTTTTTTGTTTTCTTTGTACTGACACTGAATATAACGTGAAAAGGCTGACCTATAGGTCTTATTGAACAGTGTGTAGACTAGTGGGTTGACGGCTGAGGAGAGGTAACCTATCCAAACAAACACATTAAGTAGGGCTCCGATAACATCCTCATTGCAGGACTCTTTACAGATGACAGCCATGATGTTTGTGATGAAGAACGGGCACCACATCACCACAAATAGAAAGAAGACAATGCCCAGCACCTTGCACGCTTTTTGCTCATTGCTGATGGACTGCATAGTCCTTCTGCCCGCATAGGAGCCTGGCTCCCTGTGGATGGACCGCTGAAAGAGCTTTTCTGAAGACAAGGAACTCTGAGGAAGGAAGCTGAAAGAGGCTAATTTGGCCCGGGTACTGACATCACTCACACACAAAGTAGCTTCTTTCTGGAGTGACTTGATAGTTAGAAAGTAGGTGATCACCATGATGGTTAAGGGAATGAAAAATGACACAAAAGAGCCAATCAGGACGAAGTTATCATCGGCGAGTAAGCAGCTTCCCTCCTTAAAGACCTTGGAATCATCCTGCAGTCCAAAGACTGGTATTGGCATGGATATACCTAGAGTTGGATAGAAAATGAAACATGATTATTGAGGAATTGAGGACGTGAAGGCAAGAGCATCGCCACATAATAGTGGCTGTCTAATGGATTTTATATCAATATTTTTCAAAAGCTTAACACTATTTTATTTTTATTTATTTATTTACATTCATTCACTATACATCATTACAACAAACAAAATGAGATTTCCCATTCAGAATACACTGTATATCGGCTCAATCAAGCACATCAACATACGTGTTATCGTCAATGAATAATTTTCCATTTCTTGTATCCTGTATATTTTGTTATATTTGCCATCCTTGATTTCCTGTTTCTCATCCTCTGCTATGTCTCACCCTCCTCCCACACTGTCTCTGGTATCCATGGTTCCTTTATATGCCTTTTCCCCCCATTTTATTTATTCCCTAATGAACTTAATTAACCTAAATATTTCCAATAGCAAGCACAGCTGGTATATACATATCCATGAACATAAGTCTGACTTCAGGCATAAATCTCAGTGAGTAGAATGAACATACTATAAGTAGCACCTAGCTGGGACTATATAGCTTACTGCGATCATCAAATATGCATTCTTTTTAATTTCAAGAAAAACAGTTTTTGTGGGTTTTTTTCCCTCCTGAAACTTTTTTTAAATTAATTAATTTACATTCATCCCCTATTTGTTGTCACAGCATACAAAAAGTGGTTTCCCATCCAGAATATACTGCATAGTGGCTTAATCATGTATTTTATCATCAATAACTTTCTTTTTTTTTTTTTTTTTTTGGAGAGGTTTTTCGCTATAGGACACGTGTGCTCACCAGACAGACAGAGAGAGACATAGAGACAGAAAGTGTGAAATCACCCCCCAGGGGGGATGGTCACGCCGCAATCCTCCTCCTCCATTCTCCTCTTGGAATCTTGGGCATGCATGCACACGCGCCTGGTGTGAGTTTTAAGCCACCGGGTCCGGGACACGAACCGCGGTCAACTATGCAGGAGTCCAGCGACATAGCCATTACTCTAACTGCTGGTTCCCTTTCATCAATAATTTTCCATGTCTAGTTTTACATATATGTGTGTGTGTGTGTGTGTGTGTGTGTGTGTGTGTGTATATACACTTACCCCTATGTCTGACCCTCTACCCTTTCCTACCCTCTTCTCACACTATCTCTGGTGTCTGAAGTTGTCTTCCATTCCATTTTTTCCCACATTTTATTGATCACACAATTTCTTAAATATCTAACTACTTTCTTCTTTTTTTTTTTTCTTTTTTTGGAGAGGTTTTTGCTATACGACACACGTGCTCGCCAGAAAGGCAGAGAGAAACAGAGAGACAGAAAG